TCACCTCCACTGCCTTCTACCACCACCATAGTCACCTCCATTAACTTCCACCACCGCCACCTACATCACTATCTCCTTCCACCACCACCACCACACTATTGCCACCTCCTTCCACCACCAACGCCGCCGCCTTCCACCATTGCCACCGCCGCCACCTTCCAACACCACCATTTACACCACAACTGCTTTTCACCTCCATCACCATCGTCACTACCATCCACCACCGCTACTACCACCATTTATTTTTTAAAAATTATTAGAGAATGTCATTTTGTTAATTTAATTTATTTGTTACTAAGAGAGATATTTTGGAGAATTCAATTTGAAATTTATTTCATTCTAAATTTTAAATTGGTCCAACCAAACACTAGAATGGTTACTATTATTCCATTCCTACACATTTCATATTTACAACCAAACAATAGAATGATAATGGTCATTCTATTCTATTCTCATTCTCATTCCATTCCCACTTGCATTCCATTCCATTCATGCACACCAAACGCAGTATAAAGGAAATGATAGTTATAATTTATATTTATATTTGGATAGATAAGAGATAAAAGAAATGAATGAATAATATTCTTATTTGGATAAAATAGAGGAGAAAAAAGAAAGGAAAGGATAATAATAAAATTATTATCTTACCCTTATGTATCTAATCTAAATCAAATAACTTGTTTTCAAAGTCTACCTTTCTATATACATATATGCATGTGTGTGTGTGTGTGTTGTGTGTGTGTGTGTGAAGATCATATTTATGGTGATGATCAAATGTGGAGCATAAGTCAGTGTTAGACTTTCTAAGATATATATACATGTGTGTGGGTGTGTGTAAAGATTATATTCATGGTGATGATCAAATTTGGAGTAGTGTTGCTTTTTTGTTTTAGACCCAGTTGCCTTATCCTTAGCAGTTGTTGCATTAAACCCAGTTGCCATATCCTTGACACTGAAAAACTTTGGGGTCACTTAGTTGCACAAGATGGTTGTGATGCTATGGTGTTTGGCCAAGCTTCATACAAATTGCTCTCTGAAATTTTGATAGTACTAATTAGAGTCTATTGTATTACCTGGGGCTTACAGAAATATGGGTATCCAGAATCTCATGTGTCCTAACTAAACAAACAATAACTATTGACATTTGAGAGAGAGCTTCCAATCGTGAACAGTTAGAAATAACTCGAAAACTCAATTTCTATTAAATCCAGAAAAAATCAATTTATGATTCTTAATTTATATTCACATCCTAAACTATGTGCGAGGAAAACATATTATCGGCAAATTGTTGTACATCCCGGGAAAAAAAAAAAAAAAGGGTAGATAAAAGCAATTTTAACCAAAGTATGTCTTAACCACCAATTTCTTTTTTGTGACTAGTATGCTCAATCTTAGAACCAAAAATAGTTTTGTTAGAATTATGCTGGAATTGGAGAAGAGGTGAAGCCAGAGCTAGAGAAGCTAGAGAAGCCAAAGAAGAGGAGCTAGAGAAGAGGAGCTAATCTGTGTTGCGCCGAATCTGATTTGCCCTAAATATTGTGTTATGATATTAGGACTTAAATGTAATAAAAAAAAAATTGTACAAAATTTTGAAGGCTAGTTTGGTCTTAATGAAAATTTTACTTAACTTGGTTTTCTTTCCCTTCAAATTTTGTCAAATTTGGAGGGATTCAGTTTGTGGGATTTGGAGGGATACTTCCCAATCCTTTCTTTTCTATCCAATTCCTCTTATCCAAACACGCTATACACTATCCTTTTATTTCTTTTCTCTCCAAATCACTCTAAATCTCTCAATCCAAACTATTGTGAGATTTATATGTACCACTCGCAAATGCATGAATCTTTGCAGATAGGATTTACTTGTAAAGGTGTCGTACCCAAGGGACTTGTGTAAAATAAGTTTGTCAGATTTCTTAAATTTCAAATTAACTTGAAAGTAGGATAATCGAATTGTGATGATTAATTCTAAATCAACTAAGTAGAAAATAAAATAAAGAACAATAATTAAATAGGATGTAGAAAATAGAGAGAGAGGACTGGGGGAATGACTTCACCACTAACGTCGCACCACCAGTTAATTGTATCAATTTATTGGAGATATATCATATAACATGCATAGGGAATTAATCATGGTTACAAGCACATATTAATTCAACAAGAAAATAATATAATTTAAAGCTAAGCATGAGCTATCTTTGATTGGTATAAACCATCTACCTAACTACTTTACTCTAAGGTGTAGCATGGTCTATCTTTTCTAAGCATAATCTATCAAATTTCAAACATTATATTCAGAGAAATACTATCGTGTAATCATCTCATTCACAATTACAAGAAGTGAATGAGTTGTGTTCAATCATAAGATTAAAATATCTAAGATAAGATAGAAAAATATTTGTAATTGAATTAAAACTCTAAAATCGATTCTTATTGAAAAGTTAATTAAAAATTATATAGATTACACAATCATGCATGATAAAAATTGTTCTCCAATACTTAAATACAATCAAACCAGTGTGCTAAGCCACGGCTATATCACAACCCTAGCAAAACGTTTAGCCAAGCATGACTGGAGTGGAATTCTTCATGGTTGAGGAAGACATCTTCACCGCCATGAATCGATCTCTTCTTTCTTCTGAATGCTATCCTCTGATCTCAGCCTCAAGCTCTTCTGTATGATGATTCAATGCTGTAGAGGACTCCCTTTAAATAATAAAAGATTAGCCCTAAAGTTCCATTTTTCATATAGAAGACATACATAGAAATTCTGTCAAATAAGGACTCCAAAATTCGTATATACTTCCAGCCCAATTTTGACAAAGTAAACAGCTGTTTTATGGAATCCTCCTGAAATACAAAATTGTAACTCTTCGAATTTCCTATTAACTTATGTGGGAATTTAGTTGTTTTGACACTCGAGGAGAGAGATACAACCATATTACCAAAATGGGTTCAAGTTACCAACTTTGGCGAAAGTTTCTTTTTTGGAGAATGATTTTTCCTTTTTTTCTTCTTTCCATTCTCATTAACTTATGACTTCTTTTGGACTATTTTCAAAGAATAATTAGATTTGGATCTTCAATATTGCTCGGTCCCACGAAATGTCATCTTTTAAAGCTCAGAATCACTGGTCTTGACTGATTTTATAATTAAAGCCATGAAATAAATAAAAATAATAAAACAATGTAAAATCACAAATAAACTATTATTAAGAGAATAAAACATGTAAGTAAAAGGGTTAAAATGTATAACATTCAGCGCCTAACACAAACAAAGCCTTAATCTCTTCCTTATGAATGTTTCAGTCATCACTTCTTCTTTTCTTTTCATTTAATTTTTTTCTTTCCTATTGAACCGAACAGAAGTAATGTATTTCTCTACGTTGTTCCTCAAAAGTAAAAAACTAACCACAAGTTGATAACTAAAGTAATCCTAGTTATTTATGCCTCCAACTCACCAAAAAAAACTACTATTAAATGATGAACGTGTGTAGTGTAAAATACTATTACGTATTACATAGTCGGTTGATTATTTTTGTTTACAAGATCAAGCAGGGATTGACTGGTGGGATATGCTTTGAGACAGAAAGAGCCATATTAAGATATTATTCTGATTTTAGTAATTTATAGCGACTACCACCAGTTCCCTTTCCTTGATATCTTAGTCAATATGTATGGAGCCTTGAAACTTCTTTAATCACGAGCATCCGTATGATACCAACAGTTAGGGTAGACATGCCTGGCCCACACTAACTGCAGTTTTAAGGATGAGCAACATAATAGGTAGTCAGACACGGGACTAATAAAAGCCGTGTACAACTTGCGTCAACATATGCATGTCTTAGATTAGTCCGATGAACGATACATCAAGCGTACTGAATATTTATTTAGTATTCATAGCTAAATTTATGTAATTTATTTATTTATATACAAAACAAACAAGAACATTTTTGTATAGAGAAAATGAGAATGTTACCAATCTTTTTGGGAGCAAATAATTCTTAGGAAGAGGGATGTGTTAGTGCCAACTAGGAAAAGAAATTGAGAATGTTAACGTGGATGAATAGATTAACTAGATTATAGCGTCACTAATAAAAGTGTGAGGAAGATTAATAACACTTACTGGTGAGAAAATTCGAAAGAATAAACTTATATATGGTTTAGATATATACGTTGGAGACCTAGTGACGCGCTAGTCAAATGAGGAAGATTAGTTATAATAAAAGGTTAGAGAGGAAAAGACATGCCAAAATTAACATGTGATGAAGTTATTACAATAATTTTAAAAAGTTGAATATAGTAAGTGAATTGACATGTAAGAGAAAAGTTTGAACAACCAGAATTCATGTAGCCGACTCCATTCGTATGAGATTAAGACAACGACTGGTTTTCAATTAAGATATTTCCCTCCTTGATTCAAGTTTTGTACTTGAAAGGATCAGTCTGGAACCCGTAATAACCACCCAACAGACTTCCCTTCATTTCATCATTAAATAAACATTTTAGTTTCCACACTTCATTGCAGCATTTCTCATTTTCCTTCCAAGACTCAGACTGGCACAAACTATTTTCACTCCAAAATATGAATTCGTACCATGGCCTTGGTCTTTCCAGAGCTTAAATTTCCTGTCTACGGAACAATATACCATGAACAATTAAATAAAAAAATTTAAAACTCCTTGATAGAATTCAGCCTAGTAGTCCATAATTAGTTCATTGCTATCTGTTTTGTAGTATACATGGAGATACCAACAGTGTTCTGGGCATAGCTTCTATAATTTTTTGTTAACTACAAACATCCATATGATACCAACTGTTGTCACTATATTTCACATTTCCGAGGGTCAGGACGTGAAACAAAATGAGAGAGAGCAAAATTATCAAGCCCAATACAATTTAACAAAAAAAACAATTTAGTAAAAGAAGTACTCCAACTTAGAGCAGTTAAGTAACATTTATACATAAACAAGCTTTTTGTGCCCTTCAAGCATAAACCAGATGCTATGCAACACGAACAGAAACTAGACACCAGATCAAAAATATTAAAAATAAAAGGAAAACCTGGTGCCTATTACAAACATCTTTGAGGGCTAAAAACATATTTACCTACAGACCTGCACAATGAGACACTTTGAAGAAGAGATCTAATCAAGGAATGTTGGTGGTCAAAGCAGCTTTGTGTCTTGTTGCACGCATAGCGGCTCGCCAGTGCAAGTGCATTACTAGTAGTCTTCACATTTCCTTCCATGCCTTGGTCAGAAAATCCATCAACACAAGTGCTCTCCTTGGTGAGCGCGGTACTGACCCACGTCTGTACATTGCTCATGTGCCACGCAAAGTCCAGAGCCCCAGCTTTACCCATCTGGACTAGCTTCTGAACCGATCTATTGAGATCGTATATGGCATCACCTATGTTAATAACAATGCAATCGTTCACAGCTTGGTACTCCCTAGGCTTGATGCCTGAAGTTTTAGTCATCTTGGAGATGAACACTGCAGCCAATTGAGCCCTGGTCAGGTTTACTAACAAGGAAGCTTGAGTTAATTGTCGATCGCTCTGTTGAATTGTACTGGCATAACTCGAGAGAGAGTGAAAACACTACGCAGGATAGCTAGTGTTTATGAAGTTTGTGGTAATGGAATATGTGGCAACGGTAGGCTTCGCGGCCATGCCTACCATGAGATGCAATGAGAAAAGTAATAAAAGCAAGCAAAGGTCAAGTTTTGCCATGTTAATAAAAAGGACTGGTTTTAGATGGTATGATTGAGAGAATTGAAGCTTTTGTTCTGATGAGTTGAGAGAATGGAAACTTTATATAGAGATTCTAAGAGGTTGTCACCTATTTTCTTCAAGGAATATCTATATCCCTCCAAGATAAAAATAATAATAAGAATAATTTGTCACATACCTTCTTCTTTCTAGTTCTATCTTTTCTTTATATGCTAGCTCCACTTGGTTCCAAGAAGTCATAAAATTCCTGATCATCTTTGTTTTCATCAATGTAAGCAATCAGATAGAGATGAACATACTCTATTGGTAGTGTGATAAAGGTCTCACCATTTTTTTACTCAAACGTGTGTCCATACGCTCCTTTTAAGTCTGGAGACTCTACTGTCGTATGACAGAGAAATTTCAACACATTTATTTTAATGTTTCAGTACATTAATTTTATTATTAAAATTTGCATTCATATCAAGGATTTGAATTGGATTCTGAAGAAGTTGTCACTGTGACTTGAACCCTTGACCATCCTTTAGGGAATAAGGACTTAATACCGCTAGGCCACTTATCCATTAATGTCAATGTTTCCTTTATGTATAAATGTAAAAGAAACCACACCCAAGATAAGTAATAAAAGCTGTCAATGTTTCCGGTATGTAAAAAAATATAAAAGAGAATTTTATTTATAACTATTAAATTAAACAACTCCTGTTGAGTCATACAAGATCCAGAATGTAGGTGCAAAATTTCGCTCAACCAATAATGACTGAGAAAAATAAAACAACTCACTCAAAAACAATAAAAATAAATAAGAACAATGTGTAGAGAAATGTGGAATTGCTTGATCCTTTATTGGAGGTCTTAGCCTCTATTTATATACAAAAGATTGCAAAATTATGGTAGGACTCGCGTTGCTTGCCCTCCAATTCTTTCTACATAACCATTCTTTTCTAATAGAGTTCTTTCCATTGTTGAATTTTCCATACATAGAACTTGCCTTGTACAGAACTTCCTATCCGAATTTTCCTTCTACGGTAAATTCTTCAAATGGTAGGATTTGTGCATTCTTGGGCTGAATATATTTTGATCCGGCTGGGCTTGGGTAACAGGCCGGATGTTAAATACTCATATCTGGGCTGACGACAAGCTGGGCTGATGGCTTCTTGATTCGGCCTTGATGGAATGGTCTTGGGCTGTAAATACCCTCAACTTGGGCTTGAGCATGATGGGCCTTATATGTCCTTGGCCTGTAGATATGGGTAGTGGTGACGTGTGCGTTTTTTATTGGAGGGAGTTTTTTTCCCTCCACACTTTGCCCCAAATTCCCTTTTTAATTGAGTGACGGCTCCTATTAAAGAGGGAATTGAAACCGGTTTTCACTTTGCTTCAGAAACGGTTCGTGGCCTTTCGTTATTACTTCCGTCACACAAGATTTTGCAAGAGTTGCATTTGCCCTTGCTGCACTTCTGCGTCCTTCATTTCATCGCTTCCTTCGCTTTGTCAGGTTAGTCTCGCATCTTTCTCTTCAATCTTTCATTATGAGTACTTCATCTACTCCCGAACGTGTAGACCTTGGGGATTCTGAATCCACACCTTCATCTTCCCCCATTCGCATTAGGGCTCCCCCTCCTAGGGTTTCTCCAGATCGCCCTTCGTTGAATCCATCAGGTACTTCCCCTCTTCCAACCGAAACATCCACCTCAGGCTCTGATTACGTTCTTACCCATGAAGAGAAGAAAGCAATCATCTCTATTCGCCGCATCAAATTCTCTATTGCTTCAGTAATGGAAGAATTTGATGTTCCTGAAGGAGTAGACATTGCAGAATATCCCGAGGGTGCCAATTTCACCTCCGGCGAGGGAATTGAGGAGGATGAGTTGCTTCTTTCTGTAGGGCACCTTAACGCCCTCCGATTCCCTCTTCATCCCTTCTATCATTTAGTTTTCAATAAGCTAGGTCTTGCCCCCCTTCAAGTAAATCCCAATTTCTTTCGCATCCTTTCGGCGTTGTTGGTGCGCCGGAAATTAGAGGCTTTGGATTTGACCCTTGCCGACCTTCTGCTTACTTACAATATATCTAAGCATGGGACCGAGCCTGGTCGCTTCTTTTTTACCTCTCCCCTTCATCAAAGGATATGCACGAACCTTCCTTCATCCGAAAAGAAATGGAAAGAAAAGATGGTTGTAGTTCAAGGGAAATGGTTCGTGTCCCAATTAATTGCGCTTCCCATTCCGCGCAAATTCGGGAAATTAGGTATAGAATATTTAACCTCCTTTCATACCAAGTGTTCTGGCTGTTTTCCTTGCCAAGTCTTAATATTTCACCGTATTTATGAATTTCTTGGTGTTTTTTCAGCTACATTCCCGGCCTCCACAGCAAGGAACAGACTTTCTTTTCTTGAGGAACGAGTGTGGAGTAAACCCTCGCCTATCGAGGACCTGCTAACTTCCTCCAACCTCAAGGACATTGCTTCCAGTGCCGTTGCTGCAGACCTCATGGACCTGGCTTTACCATCCTTTGACAGTTTCCCTATGACCGAGGAGGAGATACGGCGGGCTGAGGCTTTAAAAAAGAAAGCCGGAGATGCCCAACCCTTAGTCGTCATTGGATCAACTGAGGATGAGGTGGAGGTTGAGGAACCACCATTGAAAAAATCCCGCCTCAACCCCTCCTCCTCTGGCAAGGGCAAAGTCCCCTCTAAAAGCAGAGGGAAAAAAGCTGGGGAGGCTGAACCTGAAGATGAAGTCAGGGCCTTTGTTCTTGCTGAGACTGGAGCTCCTTGGACTCCTTCCTTCACCAGGGCTGACAGGTCAGTCCTACACTCAGGGGATTCTGTGGTTACAGACCCTTCAGCTGCACTGGCGGTGGCTCGAGGAATGTGGCTCCCAAATGACGAGGAAGCCATCAGCCAAATGGGGTTGGAGCAACTACTCCCCTCTGCCCCAGTCCGGGCCATAGAGGTTCGCATTGCACCTTCAGAATTATGCTACTCTTGCCTGCTTGTGTTTCTATTTATGCTTATATTTGCTTCCCTGTTAAACAGAGTCTATACCACACCATGGCCCTCTGTGCCACTGCTGAAGCTCAATCCCTCTCCATCAAGAAGTTGGAAAAGGATCTTGACAATGCAGAGAAGAGAGCCACTACTGCCTCTACCAATCTGAAGATAGCTTCTGAAGCCAAGGATGCGTATAAGAGGCAGTTGTCAGCCTCTGAGGCTAAGGTGGATTCTCTTCAGGCCGAGGTTCAACGCCTGACCGAGGCTCTTACTACTTGCTTCAAGGCGGGGAAGCAAATGCAGGGGCGCTACTCCTGTCTGGCGCACCTGGCTAGTGCTAAGGCGTTTCGGTCTGGCTATAATCAGGGTTCAGGCCCTAAGACGATGGATCCGGACGCCTTTGACAAGCAGGTGGGGGTGCACTTCCCATATGATGAAGGGCCAGAGGCTTTGGAAGCTGAAATTCGTTTTGCCGAGATGGTGAAGGCACACCTGAAGGGTACTCCTAGCTCCCTTGCTCCTGCGGCTACCTCAAGTCCTAATGTAGTGGATGCTTTTGAATCTACTCCCTTTGATCCGAAGAGGAAGTAGAACTATGTATTTTGTTTTTATGAACAGCCCGTTTTGGGATAATGAATATAACTTTTCGTTTTAGGCTTGCCTGACTTGTTTTTGTTGTATGCTCTTGATATATTTCTCTGACTGGTAATGTGTTTAAACACTAAACATTGTCTTTATACTTCGGATTTATGCTATCCGTGAAAATGCAAGGATTGTGGGAAGAAGGAGATCCTTTTAACAGTTTAGTTGATATCGCAGGATGAGTCATATGGACAATGATTTAACTGTTAAATGAACCTTCCTCGCCTTCTACTCGCCTTCAGTATACATACTCTTTCCTTCTCATGTGTTCCTGATGTGGGGTGGAATATGATGAACTTATGACATATCCGCATACACAAGGTATTAAACACTTGGAGTCCGGAGGAAAGAGTTCTGATCTGAATAGGACACTTAGGGTCCGAAGCTGCCTCGGATACTCAGGATCCGAGGCGAATTATACATTCCCTGGCGTGGAGCCGGAGGGGGGTTTTGTCGAACCGAACACGTAGGGTCCGATGCGAGATTTTCGCCGAGCCGAACACTTAGGGTCCGAGGCGAATGACCTATTCTCCGGCGCTGAGCCCGAGGGGAGGTTTTAAATGAATCACTCCCCGGCGCTGAGCCAAAGGGGAGGTTTTGCCGAGCCGGACACTTAGGGTCCGAGGCGAGAGAACTACTCCCCGGCGCTGACCCTGAGGGGAGGTTATGCCGAACCGGACACTTGGGGTCCGAGGCGAATGAATTACTCCCCGGCGCTGAGCCTGAGGGGAGGTTGTGCCGAACCGGACACTTGAGGTCTGAGGCGAATGAATTACTCCCCGGCGCTGAGCCCGAGGGGAGGTTTAAATGAATCACTCCCCGGCGCTGAGCCAGAGGGGAGGTTTTGCCGAACCGGACACTTAGGGTCCGAGGCGAATGAATTACTCCCCGGCGCTGAGCCCGAGGGGAGGTTTTAAATGAATCACTCCCCGGCGCTGAGCCAGAGGGGAGGTTTTGCCGAGCCGGATACTTAGGGTCCGAGGCGAATGAATTACTCCCCGGCGCTGAGCCTGAGGGGAGGTTGTGCCGAACCGGACACTTGAGGTCCGAGGAGAATGAATTACTCCCCGGCGCTGAGCCCGAGGGGAGGTTTAAATGAATCACTCCCCGACGCTGA